TTTATAATAGGTAATATAGTTCGAAATATTTAATAATCTATGGGTCCTTCTTTATTTTGAATAACCTTTTCAACCCTTTTTGGCATTGACTTGATTAGGTTCTGGCAAATCTCATCTCCAAGCATTGAATTCCATTCGGATATGAAATTCACAATCAAATCCTCTTTGTTGCTCAACTGCTTTCTCGGGAGCCTGTACTTTATAATGCTCCATAAGTATTCTATGGGGTTGAGGTCAGGAGATTGGGGTGCCCATGTCCTAACACTCACCTGCTTCTCATCAAAGTATTCCTTCATCAATTTTGGTTTGTGACAGGAAACATTATCCTGCATAAAAATGAACTTGTACATAATATCTCATCTCAGAAATATAGACAGATACTGAAGAGCCGAAACGTTGTAATAAATATGGCGACAAAGATGAGGACAATAGTCGGAATAATGTAAATAATGTACATAATACCTCATCTCAGAAATATAGACAGATACTGAAGGGCCGAAACGTTGTAATAAATATGGCGACAATGATGAGGACAATAGTCGGAATAATGTAAATAATGTACATAATACCTCATCTCAGAAATATAGACAGATACTGAAAGGCCGAAACGTTGTAATAAATATGGCGACAAAGATGAAGACAATAGTCCGAAATAATGTAAATAATGTACATAATACCTCATCTCAGAAATATAGACAGATACTGAAGGGCCGAAACGTTGTAATAAATATGGCGACAAAGGTGAGGACAATAGTCCGAATAATGTAAATAATGTACATAATACCTCATCTCAGAAATATAGACAGATACTGAAGGGCCGAAACGTTGTAATAAATATGGCGACAAAGATGAAGACAATAGTCCGAAATAATGTAAATAATGTACATAATACCTCATCTCAGAAATATAGACAGATACTGAAGGGCCGAAACGTTGTAATAAATATGGCGACAAAGATGAAGACAATAGTCCGAAATAATGTAAATAATGTACATAATACCTCATCTCAGAAATATAGACAGATACTGAAAAGGCCGAAACGTTGTAATAAATATGGCGACAAAGATGAAGACAATAGTCCGAAATAATGTAAATAATGTACATAATACCTCATCTCAGAAATATAGACAGATACTGAAGGGCCGAAACGTTGTAATAAATATGGCGACAAAGGTGAGGACAATAGTCCGAATAATGTAAATAATGTACATAATACCTCATCTCAGAAATATAGACAGATATCGTCGATTATCAATAATTCTTTCCAAACTGGGCTTGAGAAAATGTCGATAAGCTCTATAGGAACTTGAATATGAATTATCTCCCCCTAGGAACAGAATGGAGAATTAAAGATATTCTTCTTCTTGTTGTTCGATCCATTGTATTCTCAGCATCCTTCTGTAGAGTCACATTTCTGTTGCTTCAAGTCTCTTCTCTATTTGTGATGAGATGACCCAACATTCACTGCGACCTACATTTAAACATTGGAATGCAATGCTAATCGATTTATTCAGTCTTTTCAAATTAGGTTACTTTATTGTCCTACTAAATTCTTCTTATTCGCTTTCACTTTCAATAACTACTTGAGACTTTCTTGCTTAGCGTGTGAGGATTTAAAAATAACCCGTCCAACAATATTCGTTCGTTTAATTTACATTTTTCCAGCTATCGGTAGTGACACGTCCAGGTCTAACGGAAAAGGAATCTGTACAGTATTCACATATCTGCTTACATATCTTACTTATTATAAAACGCAGATTGTGTGTATGTGTGTGTGTGTGTGTGTGTGTGTGTGTGTCTGTACGTTTATATATTGGATCGGATTTCCTACATTTTTCAACCGATTTCAACAAAACTTCAGAGGACTACGTAAAATTACCTTGCGGTGGTTCTGACGGCGCCAAAAATTGGAAAAACAAAATTCTTTTTGCACGAAATCAATTTGAAAACACGATTAAGAGACATTAATGAAAGGGGGACAACTCACATCGAGTTATATTTATTAATATCGAGTTATCGAGTTATACTTATAAAAAACCAGGTTGGTTGTGTGTGTGTGTGTGTGTGTGTGTGTGTGTGTGTGTGAGTTCGTTTATATATGGGATCGGATTTCCTACATTTTTCAACCGATTTCAACAAAGCTTCACCCTTTTTTGGCAGGTAGTGTTTCTTATTGTCTTGCACGCATTTTTCTTTATTTTTACATTCAGAATGCTTTAAAAATTCCATTTACAAGATAATTGTTTATAATAAAATTCTATTCAATCGGTAGACTCATAACGATTGAAAACAGTGTTTTTGTTTGAGTTTGGGTTTGATCAATTCGTAAAAAAAAAAAAAAAAATAAAAAAAAACTAATTAAGACATTAACCTTTTATTTAATTTTATTTTTCAGTCTTTATGATGGTCGATACTTGATCTATCTCTTACTGTTACATCCCCGGGCAACGCCGGGCTCTACTGCTAGTATATATATGTATTTCAATAAAGGTGCAATTAATTTACAAATTTATGAATTATTCATAGAAAAAACAAATACAAAGGTTAATGATTTAATTGGCGAGAAATCCATCGTCGCAAACAATTCAAATAATATACAAAAACCCCGAACCTGTTTATGAATGAAAAGATCCTAGTTTTTATAAATTTCTGTTGCATGAGTTCTTATTATTTTTACAAGCTTTCGTCTGTTCCTACAGTTTCGTTGTCCTCTTATTACTGAGAGAAAAAACAAGAACAAAATCTATTCCATACCTGAAGATGTCTGTAGGATTTACGGAATAAATTATGACCATGAAATATTAGTGTTCAAGCCTTTTTATTATACCCTTACTCTGTCCTGGACATTGAGTTCTATCTGGATTCTTCCTCTTGGAATTTTTATTCTAAAAATATACATGTATGGGTATTTATATATTTTGCATATGTATGTATATTTACCACTAATATTATATATATATATATATATATATATATATATATATATATATTTGGTTTTTCTCAATTCAAAAGTTTCAACGTAATTAAGGAAATATTTAATAGAGATCGCATCGCGAAATACTTTCGAAAAGTCTGGTAACTTTCCTTCAGTATATTTCCCGGGATATTACAGTTTCTTCCATATTCCAAGAACCTGTGTTCACAATTTTAACTAATAGAGAATTAAACCATTTTGATAATTAAATAGCAAACATTTGTATATTATACCTTGAGGAAAGCAAAATAGTGAAGGTTTATCTCCTCTTAATTAAAGATTAAGGAACCTAGCATCCAGTTTAGCATATCAAATGAAAAATAACTGACTTAAAAAAAGGGATCCGCGTGCTTGGTGTCTCTAGCTTTTATTTATTTATTTATTTTTTTTTTATAAATAAAGATTTTCAAATATAAAAATAATTTATAAATTTCTCTTCTGTTAACTTAAGGGGCACCTGGTTACCGTTCTGGGTGCATCAGTCGGTCCCAGACGCACCGGTTGAGAAACGCTGATCGATGCAAATGACTTATTTCTGGTTAGAGTGACTATTGTTCAGCATGAACTCATTTACTTACCCACTCACATCCACTTGTGATTACTGAATTATTAATACGTGTTAACACATAGAAGAGATGGATATGTCGCTCAGAATCATAGCATAACCTGTCGCCAGACTCACATTTTTTTTTAAGCGTTTCACCCCAAGCAAGGCGGGAAGCCACTAGCATGCAAGGGGTTACAGAGAATTCGAGCGAGAACAAAGAGGAGTGATAGAGGAAAGGATGAAGAGAAGGATAGGGGATAGATCAGGGCATCTGGAGACGTCGATTGACATTACATTTGAATAGTTGGAGATTATAGCTATCAGGGAAACTGGAATAGGGAAGAGAGTTCCACAGACGAGAAGTGCGAGACATGAAGCTATTGGAGTAGAAGAGACGGCTATATTTAGTACTTTCGACAATGAAAGGGTGAGAGCGAGATGCCAGCCTAGTTGAACGCGGGAAGCAGAGAAAGCAGCTCATCGGAGCAATTACCAGGAAAGTGTTTGTAAAAAAGACAGAGGGAGGCGACGGTGCGTCTGTGAGAGAGCGACTGCAGACGAGATGCCAGATCAGGGTCAATTATTTTGCGTATCCGTCTTTGAATTTTATCAAGGACGTTGAGACAATTAGAAGGGGCACCAGACCATATATGACAGCAATACTCTATGCAAGGGCGAATGGTTGATTTGTAGATTTAAAAACATGTGCGCTATCTGAGGACAATCGCACTAAACACTTTCTAGATTGAAATCTGAAGTTATAATGAAAGTGTCACGTACTCAGGCAAAAAGGAAACGGGAAAAAGAACAAGTTGCGAATTCTAATTGAGGTAGAACGGTGAACTATGACCTGTAGTGTGATTATCCGTCGACTCTTAATAATTAAGGCTGATAACAAGGTTTTGTTTGGTAGCTTTATAGCTTTTCATTTTAAATTATTTCTCACCGTTTTTATTGTCATTTGTGTATGTGTTTGTGGCTGCTTTTGTGACAATACGCGTTTTTGTGATTATGTGCGTGAGGCTAGGTGTGTGTGTGTGTGTGTGTGTGTGTGTGTATGTGCATAGGTGTATGTGCGTAATAGTCTGTGTTTATAGATGCCGGAAAAAAGAGCCTGTCGTGACAAAAAGGAGAAGGCAACAGAAAGATTTTCAAAAATAATTAAGTTGCCTGAACAACCTTCCTCTATTCTTCTCTCTTCCTCCCCCTCTCTCTCTCTCTCTCTGCTTCTCTCTCTCTCTCTCTCTCTCTCTCTTATCGTTACCCCCTCCCGTGAAATCGTTCTATCGTTTGACAAACGAGAAAGGGAGAGGACAGGATCGATTTAGAGAGAAAAGAAAAAAAGAGAGAGAGAAAAAAAAGCGAGAAAGAGGACAGATAATAAAAAGTCAGTAAAGAAAAAAAATACGTCATACTTCAGTAGAAAAATGGAACGAGTTATGGTGCACGAGTTGTTTATGGTGTTATTGAGTATGGGGGTCACATTAATAAGAAAGAGCTGTGCTGATAGATAGATAGATAGATAGATAGATAGATACGAAAAGACTGAGATAGATATATAGATAGATATACAGACAGACAGACAGATATATGAGAGAGAGAGAGAGAGAGAAAGAGAGAGATTGGAATATAAGACGTTATTATTATTATTATTATTGATCTAGTGTTCTACATATTAACATCAATAGACTGCGATAGATCGATAGATACTGAAGAGAATGATATATATATATATATATATATAGAGAGAGAGAGAGAGAGAGAGAGAGAGAGATAGATAGATAGATACGAAAAGACTGCGATAGATATATAGATAGATATACCGACAGACATATATTTATTGTTGATCCATTGCTCAATGCATATTAATATATTAATAGTCTGGGATAGATAGATAGATAGATAGATAGATAGATAGATACGTACAGACTGAGATATGTAGATATATTCTAAATATTTTTTATTGAACGCCTCCAAAGGGAAAACGCTATCCTTGAATTACCATAGAAAATATTTTCTGCTGGCTGATGCTAACCTTCAGGATAGCAACTCATTATGCCTTCTTCACCCCCATATATATATATATATATATAGTGTATCAAAATATTTTTACTAACTTTGGGACTGGGTTCTTCACATCAATGAGTAGTAGTGAATTAACTGAGAAGTGTTCCGTTTAACAATGGCAGGATATTCATATCTTGATCAGGCAGACATGTTTTTTGCATACGCTCTCGAATGGTAATGGCCGCGAGGCTTTCTTTAAACTTACTACCTCAAAAATGAAGGATTTGTTGTCATAGGTGTATATGTCCTTGTTTCGGTGTGAGGAGACCACCCCTCAAAGTTTGTAAAAGTATTTTTGAAACACCCTGCATATCCGGAACCAAATGCGATAGATAAAGACATGCTTTGATAGATTAAAGAGACGAAAGACACAAGGAAACATTCGATATTCATTGACCGAGCAGCCAATTCTAATATCGGTTTCTCTTTAAACAATTTATTCATGAAAATAGGTCAATTTTTGTAGCTGTTATCACACTATCTAATATTCATTCTTGACCTTCGTAACCATAGAATTATTTTTCACTTCAAGTTACACTTGATATCCATTTTAGCTGAAGATGCTAATGAAAGTCCCCAAATGATCTGACTTCTCTTCACTGGTACAGTTCTTTTTGATTCTACAATTCTCAAAGAGTGATAATCTTCGCCAATCTCCAAAGATTTCTTTCACTCAATGCTAATTCTAATCATTAATCTGAGAAAGTAGTCGTAGACAACTGACAGTTTAGACATGTCTGGGTCTAGTGCCATGCAATTGCATCCACGTTTGTAAGCATTTCAACCCCCAAAAGACGGGAGTGCCACTGGTGAGAGGTGTGAGAAAAACTGTGTATAGTGGGGGAATGATAAAAGATGAAACGGGGTTCAAGACATCAGAACATGGCGATTGACGTTGCATTTAAATTTTTGAAGATTGTAGTCATCAGGGAAGCAAGTAAACGGAAAGGGAATTCCACAGGTGGGAAGTACGAGAAAAGAAGCTGTTGGAGTAGAAGTAGTGTTTACATTTAACTATTTCAACTTTTAAAATGGTGCGACCTAGATGCCAATCTAATAGCACGATTAGATTTATGTAGTCGGAGCACCAGGAAAAAAGGTTCGACAGAACAATAGCCATGAAAATATTTGTAGAAAAGACAGAGAGAAACCACATCACGCCTGTGAGAAAGTGACTGGAGTCGAGATGCCAGGTCAGGATCGATTATATTGCAGATCCTCATTTGTTTTTTTTTTTGTTTTGTTTTTTCAAGAACATCGAGATGAACAGCGGTGGCATCAAACCAGATGTGGCAAAAGTATACAATTCACGGACGAATGGTAGATTTATAGATATGTAAGATGGACTCTGACGAGAAAAAAAGCTTCTGGCACGGCACAGTGAACCAACTTTCCTTGCAGCAGATGCAGCTATTGATTCAATAAAGTTGTTCCACTTGAAGTCTTTCGAAAGCGTATGGCCAAAAAAGGCGCAGTGCGACACTCTCCTGGACTCTAGAACCAGCCATGCTAACAGCGGACAGGGAATTATCTCTCTAGGGTGGCTAAAAGATCGCAATTTCGTTTTGGAGGCATTAAAATTCCCAAGCCATTTCCTAACCACTGACTGAAGTTCCATTTCGAGAGCAGCGGACAGCGTTGACTTTGTCAGAACTGTCGGGTTTACTATTGAGACAGGAATAAATGGTAGTTTCGTCTGCATAGATGTCTACTTGGGAGCTGATGACATCATGAAGATAATTGATGAAGTGTTATGGTAATTTACTCACGCATACATGGACTCTCCTAGCTATAAATAGGAGCAGGTACTGCCTTATGGAGAGGGAAGATTCCAGCAGTCAGCTCTGACAGTCGGACCGAACATTCTTGTTGTAACACTCTCGTTTTCATATGTTTGTAATACTGTTTCTCTTAATATATTTGTTTAACCCAATTCCTCTATATAATCGGTCTTGACCTGGCCCTAACAAAGCCACAACACTTAGATAGATAGATAGATAGATAGATAGATAGATAGATAGATAGATAGGATAGACAGATAGTTAGATAGATAGGATAGATAGATAGGATAGATAGGATAGATAGATTAGATATATAGATAGATAGGATAGATAGATAGGATAGGATAGATAGATAGGATAGATAGATTAGATAGATTAGATAGATAGATAGATAAAATACTGAGATGGATAAAATACTTAGTGTTATGTTAATTTACAAACGCACACATGAACTCTCCCAGCTATAAATAGGAGCAGGTACTGCCTTTTGGAGAGGGAAGATTCCAGCAGTCAGCTCTGACAGTCGGACCGAACATTCTTGTTGTAACACTCTCGTTTTCATATGTTTGTAATACTGTTTCTCTTAATATATTTGTTTAACCCAATTCCTCTATATAATCGGTCTTGACCTGGCCCTAACAAAGCCACAACACTTAGATAGATAGATAGATAGATAGATAGATAGGATAGATAGATAGGATAGATAGATTAGATATATAGATAGATAGGATAGATAGATAGGATAGGATAGATAGATAGGATAGATAGATTAGATAGATTAGATAGATAGATAGATAGATAGATAAAATACTGAGATGGATAAAATACTTAGTGTTATGTTAATTTACAAACGCACACATGAACTCTCCCAGCTATAAATAGGAGCAGGTACTGCCTTTTGGAGAGGGAAGATTCCAGCAGTCAGTTCTGACAGTCGGACCGAACATTCTTGCTGTAACACTCTCGTTTGTATATGTCTGTGTTATTGTTTCTGTTAATATATTTGTTTAACTTAATTCCTCTCTTTGTGTCATTATTTCTGGCCCTAACAAAGCTACAGCACTGAGATAGATAGATAGATAGATAGATAGATAGATAGATAGATAGAGAAAGGAAATAGAAAGAAAGAAAGAAAGAAAAAAGGAACAAAGAAAATGATTAGATAGATAGACAGATAGATAAATATGTATGAATGCATAAACAGATATAGATAGATAGAGAAAGGGATTAGGAAAAAAGAATGAAAGAAAGAAAAAAGGAACAAAGAAAATAATTTAGATAAATAGATAGATGGATAAAATACTGAGATGGATAAAATGCTTAGTGTGATGGTAATTTACAAACGCATGCATGGACTCTCCCAGCTATAAATAGGAGCAGGTACTGCCTTTTGGAGGGGGAAGTTTCCAGCAGTCAGCTCTGACAGCCAGACTGAACATTCTTGCTGTAACACTCTCGTTTGTATTACTGTTTCTGTTAATACATTTGTTTAACTCAATTCCTCTCTTTGTGTCTTTATGTCTGGCCCCTAACAAAGCCACAACACTGAGTTAGATAGATAGATAGATACACACACACATATATATATATATATAGATAGATAGATAGATAGATAGATAGATATAGAAAGGGATTAGAAAGAAAGAAAGAAAGAAAGAAAGAAGGAACAAAGAAAATGATTAGATAGATAGATAAAATTCTGAGATGGATAATTAGTGTCATGGTAATTTACCCACGCACGCATGGACTCTGCCAGTTATAAATAGGAGCAGTTACTGCCTTTTGGATGGGGTGGGGGTTCCAGCAGTCCGCCCTGACAGTCGGACCGAACATTCTTCCTGTAACACTCTCGTTAGTATATATCTGTATCCGTGTTTCTGTTTATACATGTGTTTAACTCAATTACTCTTTTGTGTCGTTATTTGTGACCCTAACAAGGCCACAACAGGAAGATCAGAAACAGTGTAGTCCCCAGGATAGATCCTTGTGGGACACCCGCTTTCGTGTGAAAGGATCTGAAAGCGAGTCCGTTCAGAACGACCTTCATTTCACGATTTGAAAGGAATGATTGGATTAAATCAAATAGTTGCCTGAATGTCTCGTCTGGTATTTAGTAAATCCGCATCCTGAATTTTTATGGTGTTTTATGATGTCTGTGCCATCATAGTTTTGTTTCTTATTTTAAATTATATTTTCTTCTTTCGTCAATGTTTATTTTATAGCCATATATCTCGGAACCCCTTCTTTTTTTTTTTAAATTCGTATCACCCCATGCAAAGCAGTAAAGCTACCAAGACACAAGAGATTACAAAGTGTGGCAGAATTAGGAACAGAAACATTAATAAAAAAGCGGGAAAAGGAAAGAATAATTAACAGTAGATAGCAATTATTGCACATGAGAGATGATATCGGGTTTCTGTTCAAGATGCTTTCTATTCCAACTATGTATATGTATGTCATCAGCATAATTCTCCTTTTTATTAGTACGTAGGCCTCGGGGTTTCGGGAGCAGGATCGCTGTTTTCTATTAAGTAGATTCGTTTGGGTTATGGTATGGAATGATTAAAGTATCAGTGGCCATCTTTTCGCATCGCTTATTTAGAAAATTTGTACGATTCTTGATATGTTTATAGCGTGAGATTGTTTTTTTTAATTATTGTAAGCCGACTATTTGTTTCATTTAGATAGCTATCGTCTTAAATTCCTCAATAATTATGTCTTTTGCGACGCAGAACAACACCGTTCCGATGGTGAGACGCGACTTACACGATACCGGCCGCGCGCCGCTCCCAGCCGCAATCGATTTGATAAGATCAATGCGCATATATATATATATATATATATATATATATATATATATATATATATATATATATATATATATATATAAAATTACTACTGCGTTGGCTCATTGAAAATTACGAATATATACGTGTTTTTTTTTTTTTTAAAAAAGGTCGGTTGTTTTTTTTTCTTTTCTTTTAATGAACCTTCAAACGAATAAAAACAGGCTAAACTAAGAAGGATGGCAGAGTGATAAAAACATTATGAATGCTCAGCCATGATAGCGATAAAAAAAAGGCAAAACTAAGCGAATAAAATAGAGAAAAAATCGTCACAGATACGGATCAATGTAACATCATAAACAACTATCTTAAAAACAGATCTACACGGAATATGATTGTTCCTGATATATATATATATATATATATATATATATATATGTGTGTGTGTGTGTGTGTGTGAAAAGTGTGTGTATATAAATATAAATATATATGTGTGTGTGTGTGTGAGAGAGAAAAGTGTGTGTATATAAATATATATATGTCTGTGTGTGTATAAATATATATATGTGTGTGTGTGAAAAGTGTGTTTATAAATATAAATATATATATATATGTGTGTGTGTGAAAAGTGTGTGTATATAAATATATATGTCTGCGTGTGTGTGTATATAAGCATATATATATATGTGCATGTGTATAAAAAGTGTGTGTATATAAATATAAATATATATGTGCGTGTGTGTGTGTGAACTGTGTGTGCATATAAATATAAATATATATGTGTGTGTGTGTGAAAGTGTGTGTATATAAATATAAATATATATGTGCGTGTGTGTGTGAAAAGTGTGCGTATAAAAATATCAATATATATATGTGTGTATGTGTGTGAAAAGTGTGTTTTTATAAATATATATATATATGTGTGTTTGTGTGTGTGGGAAAAGTGCGTGTATATAAATATATATAAATATATGTGTGTATGTGTATGTGGGAAAAGTGTGTGTATATAAATATTAATATATATATATGTGTGTGTGTGTGAAAAGTGTGTGTATATAAATATAAATATATATATGAGTGTGTGTGAAAGTGTGTGTTTATAAATATATATATATGTGTGTGTGTGTGTGTGAAAAGTGCGTGTATATAAATATATGTGTGTATGTGTGTGTGAAAAGTGCGTGTATATAAATATAGGTGTGTATGTGTGTATGAAAAGTGTGTATATAAATATATATAAATATATGTGTGTATGTGTGTGTGTGTGAAAAGTGTGTGTATATAAATATAACTATATATATATGTGTGTGTGTGTGAAAAGTGTGTGTATATAAATATAAATATATATATGTGTGTGTGTGTGTGTGTGTAATATATTATATATATAATTATTTATATATTATATGCGCGGTACTTATTAGAAAGCGCTCAGTATCAGAGATAGAGCTAACATATTTGGTTGGATAGATGTGAGTTTGTGACCCTGGGTTTCACGCTTTTGCGATCGTCAGGCAAACTGATTAATTTTTTTTTAAATTTAGGTTTATGTAGATGGCGTGTATTGGTGTTATTATGGAAGTGGGTGGAACATCAATCCAAACACACACACTCACACACACACACACACACACACACACATATATATATATATATATATATATATATATATATATATAGCATGATGTTTGTGTGTGTGTAACGAATGCACGGCCGCAATTTTCGACGGATTTGCATCAAAATTTACATGCACATGCTCCAAGTAAGGGGGAAGGCCAAGACCGACTTTGCATTTCCCAACTCCCATCGATAGTGGAAATAATCGATTTTTTCATGCTTCTACGGCAGTTTTCATGTAGTTTGCGATCATTTTCTACTGCCCAGAGTGAGAGCCTATAGCTGGCTGCCACGAATAGGCAGGCAGATTCTATTGGCCAGCGTGAGAGCCAACAGCTGACTGACACGAATGTTAACTAGCATGCTAGCATGCAAAAAATATCGATAGCTGCATTCGTCACAAGTGGGGAAAAATTTAAATCTGCATGGCACTTTACTCCAATTGGCTCATTCGCTTGCTTAAACTCAACGTTGATTCTGATTCCGCAGAACTGGGCTGGATGTGAAAAAGTATTTGCTGTTAACATTCTTTTTGTCATTCGGTTTTTCCAGTTACAAGTCCTTTTTTAAAGCTGATCGTTTTGTGTTCATTTTGTTTAGTTCTTTTTTCGTAAGAGATTTAATGTTTATTATAGGGCTTAGAAAAAATTCGCAGTGTGAGATAGGCAAGAAGTAAGGCATGTAGCAACATCAGCATGGCAAAGGGCACTCCTTTAAAGGCAAGGAAGGGCAAAAATAGTTTAAGTCAAGTGATAGCGATTACTGTATGAGTCGCACGAATTTTGAATCAAGCACGGGCAACGCAGGCCATGCTGCTAGTATATATATATATATATATATATATATATATATATATATATATATATATATATATATATGCGTGTGTGTGTGTGTGTATTTTAATTTTTTTTTTTCTGTTTATACGTTATTTTATATAAATATTAAAGTAAATGCTCTGTTTATTAAACAGTATTAACAACATCTACCGGCCTGAATGTCCGAGAAATTTTCACAGAAAATATGTGTCCTCCGACAGGAGTCGAATTTGTATCCTACACAGCACCGTCATATATTAAAATAACTAGTCCATTTCTTAATATATGATGCTATTTGCTTATGTTAAGATAGGCCTCGAG